CAAAGCTTCACGAGAGAGCCTAACTCTACCTTCCACTATAGTAATGCGACACTGACGCTGCATCTAATATTGCTCTTTTCGTCCTAATGATTCATGAAAGTCATTTTAGTTCGCAGACTTTCATTTGTTCATCCGACTACAAATGTTGATTTCATTAGTCTCGCAATACCCATAATAGGAATTGTAACATCTGTGATTGGAAAATTTCTAGAATCAGAATATCAAGAGATTTCTTTTGACCCGCAGTCGGAAGTAATAGGCGCAAAAAAGCGAGAAAATTACAAAGGCGCGATGTCGCACGTGTTAGCTCAGGCCGCACAAATGATTGACACCGATTACGCTTACATTAGTAAAAAATCGAACGAAAACTCGAGTGTTATATCAAAGTACGTGCTGTTTTAAAAATCCGTATTTTTACAGTAGTAACGCTGATAATGTGTTAGCTAGTTGAGAAGCTGAGACTTGGTCGAAAAGTAAGGAGCATTTTATCAATGCATATTCCGAAGTTGGACGGCGAAAGAACAAAAGCAGAATACTTATAAATTAAAGTTAAAAACATGATCGCTTTCACGGCTCCCTCATATCTGAGAAAGTATTTTATTTATGAGGACATATTTAGTACCATATTGAACAAGCTTTCAGTCGCAGTGACGTAAATTAATTCGAAAACTGTGATCAGTTCAAGTTGAAGAATTTTGCCATGTTATAAGTCGTACTGTAGATTATTCTCATGATGGGTGTTCACATATTCATTTCAAAAGAAACTACACTTGATAAGACCGAAATCTTTTCATTACAAAACCCAATTTGAACCCCTTACGAGCGAAGCCTCGAGCATGGTGTTGAAGACTAATGAAAATGATTGGTTTCAAATTGAGAACTGGCGTTCAAAATATTTCTTCTCAACGAAATGCCTCAAGTCTGGTTCCATCGATATTAATATGGCTCTGCTATTATTCCCCTACCCAGATTTTCAGCCGATTTAATGAAGCGGATCTACTACTACATAGTATTCAACGAAATTTCTAAGTTTCAAGATTTCACCAAAAATATTACATTGACGATAGTCTCTTATACCTTTTTGTTTTCCTGATAGTCTTAACTGAAGGTGGCTTAAGTACTCAACCACTATCAATTGACATCTTCTGCTTATAATCACATACACTGTACATACTGTACATTCTATGCCGAAAGATTTTCCCGAAGACCTCATCGCTGTGAACTTTCTATTTACGTGTGTATTTTTCTGAAAGGGTAACTAGAAATGGAATCTCTTCTGACACAAACAAATTTTATACATATATCCTGGCGCATCAGTGGTCAAATCTCTTCTACGAGTAATCTTCCAATTTTTAAGACGGGGCTTGCTATTGGCGACCTTGTTTTGAGCAATATTTCAGCTGAGACAACGAGAGAAAGTCAAAAATAAATTTTCATGAATAAATATTCGAAAACAGCCATAAAAAGCGCTTCATAATATACTGTAACAGATTATATGCTTTGTGCAGGATATTTTAGTTTTACAACTTTAGTTCAAACACAAAGAACTACTCAATATAACATGCTGTGAACTTTTGTTATTTGGTCGAATTCAATCACACAAAGAGGATCTGGGTATCGTAAATTTTGTAAAGGTCCAAATATGATATCGGTAATTTTTCTATATAATTTTGGGAATCTTGAGAAAAATTCTGTGCGCCATCCAGTGTGGGTTGTTCTTTGCCGAGTATGGCCATAGATAAACCGCGCCTCGGCGGCGCGGTCCATCAATGACCATACCCGGCTTAGACATTTGAGCAGGTATATTGAAACGGGATGTCGACTAGGAATTCAAAACAGTGAAAACCAAATATATAATATTTATGTCGCATTCCTTATGATTGAAATTGTCTGGCCAAACGGTTTACTCCGACTGAACCAATGTGAGCTAAATGTTTGAACTGATGACTGATGGAACGCATCCAAGATGAATAAAATAAAAGATAGGTTTGTCGATTTTTTTGTTCAAAGATTTTGCTCAAAGTAAGGTCATACATTTTTATTCAGTGTAGAGCAGTGTATTATTTTTTCGGCGCTCCCGTGGTATTATGTAAAACAAGATGGCGGACACCTGAACATAGAATGTGTACCAGGTTAGAGTTAAACCATAATTTGTACCTGAAATTATGGCCTAATCCTAATCCGAAACAAATACTACGTTCCGGTGTCCGCCATCTTGTTGCACATACTACGGGAGTACCATTATTTCATCATATTGGTAAGAGATTAAAATGCTGCCTGATACACGTATGTCGTTTTAAAAGAAAATAGAATTCTTAATTTTCTTCTCTGACAACAATTGTGTTTTCGTTCGCAGCGCCCAACCACAAAAACACATCGGTATCAATCATTAAAAATCGATCAGATTCTTTTCATATCTTTGCGGACCCTGTTGCATTCATCGCGGATGTAAAACCATGCCTTAAGTCACTAATACTAAAATTACTAGGCGAATTTTTATAGTAATCAAGACCTACAATCAAATAGCTAAATAATCTTTAAAGCGTGAACTAATCCTATAAATCTGGCAACTACTTTATTAAACACCGTTCCATTCGCTTCAAAAGCTCAACTAAGTACTGCGATGTTGATTGAATACGCGTCTCTCAATATCACTAATGTATATTGTTCACACAAATCTAACTGGTAGATTCATTAACACCTAAGAACACAAGTCGTCGGATTGGAATGCTGCAAGAGCCGCGAAAATTAAGATTAATGACCTGATCGAGTCTGGCCGGATGTGAATATACAATTGAACATTTTAGGCCGTTGAAATTTGTTACAAAATCTAAATGTGGAAGATGTTACTGCAGTTCGAATTTACTTACCAATTAATATACGGCTACTTATAAATGTATGGTTAAATGCTAGCGCGAAAGCAATTAGGTTTACGCTAAAATAGTTGGTGATTTCACTAATTTTTTTCAGCAGTACTCTTTATTATGATTGTAACAACGAGTTAGTATAAGCAAAGATATTTATTAAATTCACAATAAATTTACTCAAAAATTTACCTTATTTTTTTACACTGACCTTTCTTACTACCGGATTAACAATTTGGTATGGAAACCAAGGTTAGATGGCGCATATATGTCCGATTCACATTAAAATATTTGGTAATTTCACTTTTTTCCTTGACAGTATTCCTCATGCTATTTCATAACAAGTTCGTAAATGAGCCCTAGTTACCTCCTAGCGCGGAATTTATCCAATTTACCAGAAAATCCTCGATAATTTCATTCATTTTTAACAGTATTCTTTATTATGTTTGCGACAACCAGTTGGTAAAGTTGAAATCACAAAGTCCACCAAGAATAAGGTTTTATAATCACAACAGAACAATTTCCCTTATCGTAATCAGGCCCTTATGACACTGCTAAAAATAAACCGCGTATTAAATGGAATATTACTATCAATTGAGCTTGAAACGAAACTACGGAAGATCACAATCGAATTCGGCGATTTTTAAAAGTCATGCTCCACAACTCTTTATTGGATAACTTAATTTTAGCCCGAATCAAAGCAAGATAGTTCATCTTAACTAAAAAATCGGTGACAATTTTGTCTTGATATATAACTTATGGTTTTCTCTAATGTTAAAATGAGTAATATCGTACCCATTAAAAGATCTTTAAACAGTAATTACACACTAACTAGTGATGTAAAAATGGAGAGATAAGTTCCCGACCTGGAACTCTTGTTTTGGCGAAACGTCATAAAAAGCTAATTCTCGCCTCTTCACTCAGCTCATTAGCATATTCGCTCGCTCTTTAGTGAAAAGCCGTGACATTGCTACATGAAAGTGGAAACTTCATAAAAATCCAAGGACAACTACAGATAAAAAAAAAATGACTTATCTATCAACGGCCCACAAACTTGTCTAAATGCATAAACAAAAACACACTACCGCGGCCGGGACACATTTGCGCCGCTTAATGATAATCGACCCTGTATGACCAACGTTTAAAATAGCTAACAAAGTTCAATTTCCTCTATCAAGCGGAATAAACTAAAACACACTTGCAACAATCACCTCCTCTGAACTATACACAATTGCGCTACCTAGTCACCATTTCCCGGTATAATCATCGACAGAACGGGATTCGACGGCTCGTTTCACCAAGACTATCAATACACTACACATAAATAGGTAATATACATGCATTACCAAATCCCTATTAGATAGGTAATTCCTTTTTAATCTGGCTATTCGAAAATCAATTCTAAATAGCAAGTCATTACTTAAAGAAGCTTAAAACCAGACAAAACACTTCCATAGTAATTATTTATGATGGCCTAATTACAAACAGACTTCAGTTGCTCTGCTCGTAACTAGAAATGTACCGACACTATTTTTCGCCGGTACCGATACGGTAACTTATCTTTCCCAAAATTCTGAATCAGATCAAAAAGCCGATATTGACCGATATTGCCCATACCGATACCGAAAAAATGACCGATGTTGCCGGTACCCGATGGCCGATACTGATACATCTCTACTCGTAACCCGTCCCTGGACAAGCAGCTACTTTAAAGCATCGATCTATTTATGTTAGTTGAATATTCAACCAAAATCTAGTCGAATCAGTTATACTGATCAAAAGTAATTGTTTATGATTGTTTTTAGGTTCAAGTTATTACCAAATAATCGCTTATAACTATCAAATGCGAAAATCACCCAAAGTTTTAAAAATCCATTTATGGCGTCATAATACATTTTAGGGAAAGCTAAAAAATTCATTAACATTATGGCGCCATAATGTAGTTTACGGAAATCCAAAATACTTGATTACGAAAGATATCAAACTTTAGGCGAGTGGTTAAAAGTAACCTTTGAATGGAAATTTCTATATAAAATTAGCAATTCGCAGCATTGGGGTATTTCGCAAAATATAGCAACCACTTTATTACAACCCAACAAGATTGTGCTGAAAAAAATAAACCAATTTTTCACTTACCCAGGACTGCAGTCGAGTTCGGCCTTTGTTTTCTTCTAGCGATACTTGCTGCTCGTTCTTGTCGCATTGCTGGTAAAATATTATCCGTGAACGAAGGAGGTTTCGCCCCTTCTTTTTGATCTTCATTATCCTTAGCTTTATCCGTTTCGTCAGCACTGGAATCTGTGGCCGATTTTGAAACCTCAATTTTTTCTGCTGTGACTTCATTCTGGAAGACAATTCAATAGTTAAAGACCAAAGCTTTGATATACGGACATGAATGTCAAGTGTCAAAAAATGAGGTTAAAATAAAACTGCGCTAACGTAGTATGTGACCTGATAACCCTAAGCTGGTACACATACTATGTTCAGGTTGTACGCCATCTTGGTGCACATACTGCGGGATCACCAATTAAGCAGTGAAATTTTGGATGAAATATCGAGTCCGAGAGAACTAAGAGGACCTAAATAGAAGTGATAGTCTTTTAGCGGTTCCAACCACGGGCGTACCTAGTCCTAGGGCACCCCCTCATTTGAGAGAAAAAAAATTCTGTGTCATATATAGCGATTATTTTCAGACCCATAAGACTCTCGAAGGCCTCAAGTTGAAACCTCACGTTTTGCGGTCGCTAGCTGTTGCGGTCCGACTTGGCAAATAGAAGTTTCGATATATAGCCCACAAGCTAACTTAGAAGTGATTACAAGCGCTGCGCAGCAATTAACTTTGTTACACCAATGTTTTTATGCTAGAAAAAAGAAATATTGTAAAGGCATCGTTTACTTCGGCGATGTCAAATTATTTTTAACTTCAAACAGTTATAAAATGTGGCGACTACCTTTTCGACTTCTTTACTTTCAGCTGCTTTGTTGATGAATTCTTGTTGTCTTGCTAATGCTTGTTCTTCTTTCTTGCGTTTCAGTTGTTCAGTCTGGAGAGAAACAAGAGAAAAGTTATAGGACGTATCAAAACTAATGGAATGAAAAGATAGTTTGATAACCTGAAAAAGGTGCGCCCGAAGTACGTGTACCCATATGGCGCACAAGCTGAACATAGTATATCTACCAGATAAAGGTTCAGGTTGTGCGTCACCTTGGTACACATACCTCCGGAGCGACCTAAGAAGGCCGAGGAACAGTCTTGGGTATTCCCTAGTTCTGCTATCAACGACAATTCGCGCATTCAATGAAATAAAATCAGAATGGCATTGCCAGTATTAGTACTGTATTTGTTATACTCTCTTTTCCACGCCTTCGCTTCTTACAAGGCACTACACAGGCCCCTTCCCTCCGAAAATTCGTGAATACGTCCCTGATAGCGATTTCCAAATAGCTACTTTCTGAAAGGGTCGGATTTCTCTGGTTCTGCATTGCTTACCCAAACCATTACTACACCATGGGTGAAATGGCGAGCATAGGTTTTTAGATGTGTATGCTCCGATACCGACATACTACGTATAAAGCTTTAACTACTAGGTTAGGTTATGGTGCGAATTTCGGCGCTCCGGAGGTATTCGTACCAAGATGACACACAACCTGAAAAACCCTGATCTGGTACATATACTATGTTCAGGTTGTGCGCCATCTTGGTACGAATAATTCGGGAGAACCAAAATTTCTATATGGCAATGTATGAGGCAGGTAGTAATAAGAATAAGCAAATTCAATATCATTGAAAATACGGGGATTTTTTATCATGAAAGCAGGAAAAGCACTCGTGAATGATATTCAAAGATATAGCGCAATTATTGACAAAGAGGTGTGTTATGATGCTCAGATCGTCGAAGATTTAACTTTAGTCTAAAAAAATATCGCGGTTTAAAGATATATTTATTCAAAAGTAGATCAGGGGGTGTGAGACAGCGTGCAAGAAATATTCGCGTTCTAATCGACAATTCTAACTATTTCACACCAATTCCTGATACTTCCACATCAAATAAATCTGATTTTCCTCGATTCTTGAAATTCTTCTTTCCATAACTTTAGTATTATGAATCATAATGTGACGCAATTCTTCTAATTGTGACGACATTTTTGTTTCCGCCTTTGAATCAGAGGGAATTTGAAACTGGAATACTGTACGAGGGTGTGGGATTCCACTTAATTCTGGCAACGGTAAAAATATATCATCTTTGGTCGTCAATGCCGGATTGTCTTTTAGACATTCCCTCGCATCGGGGTGATGGACCATCGGACGACTGTTGTCATTCTCATTCTTTTTCTGTTTAAATCCTGACCTAATTTGCGATGGTGGGGCTGAGTATTTGCGACGCGTGTCCGTAGGGGTCTTCTGTGTATAAGAGGAACTTTTACGATCATTTGGTGAAGCTTTAGGGCTTTCTTTCTGAGTATTTGCACCAGGTTTAAGGTTTTTATTTGGCGCTCTCCCTCCTGTGCCAGATCTTTTGGGACTATCCATATTCTTTCCATGACTAGGCGACGATTTTGGCGAATGCCGAGGACTCCACGAATTTGACCTTTGTCGATTTGAACTTGGCGTATTAACGCCGAGACGGTTCGGAGACGAAGTACTTGACCCAGTGTGAGTGTATCGGGGCTGTGGTCGATTCCCGGATGGTCTTCGTCTTCGTGGAGATGCTGACGACTGAGGACTATCAGCAGACATAATGAATCTGCGATCTACTGATAAACTATTATTTGCACCCTCTAGCTCGACTATTGAATGCAGCGTGAAACAATTTTCAAATGTTCTTCAGTTTCAATATTCGTAGGCAAGAACCTAAGTGCTAATAAAAACACCCCTTATTTCACCACAGACAAAAAAATCAGATCCGATATAGAATTAAATTATGCATGTCGTGATTACTCAAGAAGCACTACTAATAGCTACCGTTACATTATACGCATAAAATACATATCGATAATGACAGCCGAATAGGCAAGTCAGATAAAGTATTCTTAATAGATACCTTACTCTTACTGGATGCTAATTACTAAAAACTAGACCAATGCAGCTCGATTAATAATCAAAATGCTAAGCCACAGCGTCATGTAGCTCACAAATAGTACACAATAATAGTAATCAAGTAGGCAGATGTAAGAGCCGAGTAATACCGTCTGAAACTATACTAACTAAGCAAGACCTACCGCGCTATGCAAAACGTATTTCCTTTTCATCGGGCCTATTGTATGTCTCATTACACGGATGCAAATGCCATAAGAGGACGACAAACAAAGTGTTCGCAGACCGCATTAGTATAGTTGCTCACAGACACAAAACATGACATTTTCAACTAAAAAGCCAAACAGGTATATGGTAGGTTGTCACCTGAAAATGCGGTAATAGAAATTACGGAAAAACGCTGAAATTGGAAGCCGAAAATGGAAGAAATTTTAATGTGTTTTATGGATCCAAGATATTGTGTTACCTTTCCAATATTTTAATATTTATAGAATTGTCTTTACCACTGACCAACTCGATTTACGTGATGTAAACAAATACAGACTGTTTAAATTTTTAGGCGCTTGTATTTCATACCCTACTCCAGTTGCAAACATATAGTACATATCGATACAGTGTAAAAATATCTGCGGTTTCAAGAATAAGAAGGAAACCAATAACACATAATGAGGCGAGCAGAAATCACGGTAATTCATATCAATTTACATATCAAGCCAAATGGCCAAATGGCTTCAGCATTTTATAGGTTTAATGTAAATAGCTGCCCTCTTTCAGTTTGTGAAAAAATGCACAGAACATTTACATGCGATTGCATACGAAAAGGCTTTGTGCACATGCACAGAAAGAATAAATTATTCCCGCTGAGTTATGCAACAGTGGGAATCACAATTTCAACAAAGTATTTCAATCTCACCTTTATAAAAGCAGCAGTAGATTGTTGATATGATTTATTTCCGAAAATAAAATTACGAACTCGACTTGCGAATAATCCCATGGTTAGTTGCAAGACATTAAATATACTATCTAAATTTGATTACATAATTACGAACAAAAGTGGTTAAGTTGGAGAAAAAGTCATCACAATCATCATTTTGTGAGAATTAGTAAAATTTGCTCCAGCATTCAACTGCTGAAAATGAAGCGCTTTTGCTCGATGAGAAGACAAACCAGGGTTATTGTCAATAGCATGCAACATAAATGATAATAAAATCAAAAGCTTATACAGTATAGGTATAGTACTCGGGCATTTAAGCGAGGCTATACTCAAGCCCAATATTATGAATTTTAATATAACTTCTTACTTTTTCATGAATCAAAAGAAAAGTCAGTATGAATTTACAACTATACCAGCCAACAATTTTTTGACAAAAACTATTTGATTTAACCCTAGCGAAAGCTCAACTAACCAGTCGCGATATTTGAGATAGGTCACAGCCTGCGTTTTTAAATGTCTCACTTCTATAATTCAGACTGTCTTACAATCCCACTACTTAACTCCTATTCTAAATTGAGGCCACGTTTGTCACTGAATCCGGTAATGTTGATTCTTCTTTAGCATTCTATCTATTCTCTCCATCTGCAATGAAACGTGACATGAACTCTCTGATTGTTTTCACACAATATAGGAAATGAGTAAGATTATTATGACGTCACATTCAATACAATCTGCTTGACGACAATGTCACTTTCTAGTCTGAACTAAGGCAATATGTTTAGTTTAGCTCAACTTTAACGTGACTGTGCAGACTGTATTTTCTTTTGTATAACTTTACTAAAACTGAATTAAAAGTATATAGATCGCTTAGAGTTGCGAAGTGTCGCGTACTGAGGCATGTTCATAGAAGGCTAAGGCTAAATATATTAGACTGCAGCACTGCACCCATATTCCGTTCCATTCATCTGTGTCCCCCAACTGTGATAACTTAATCTTAATCTGGATAAACTATAATAAGCCTTTGGTCCCTTGAAAATTTTCTATCAGTATTCGTAAGTTTCTACTTTTATGGTTTTTAGAGCACGGAACATCTCAAAGCTAACCTGTTCAAAAAAAACCATAACTTGAAAGGTACCTGTATCCCGACGTCCCACAGTATGTAATTTAACATAAGCTAGAAATATATTCAATCCTAACTGCTTCCCACAAATCCTTACATATCGACCCAGCCTCTAAAACCACATAACACTAACTACTACAACCAGCCTAGCCAATTAAAGTTGTAATTTAAGAAGAAATTTGTAACGATGGCGACATAATTAAATTATCTTTTGAGCGATCGTTTTATAAGATGAATAGAAGATCTCGCAATAACACTCAATAGAAAACTAAACGAAGCCATATGAACTCAGAACCTTTTTAATTCACCTCGCAAATTTGAAATAAGGCAAACAGAGAGCGATGAATAATTTAGAACTTAGTTCCTATACAATAAAAATCCGAATCGACTATTTGCTTAATAAAAACTTTATCGAGGCAAGGGCGCCTTCAAATACACGCGGAGTGAATATGTCATATTTTATTGGCTAAATTCAAAAAAGAATGAAATTTTGTAGATGTAGTAAGGGTATTCAGAAAAAGGTAATCCTGCATTCTCTCAGAACAAAGCACTGCACGAGTAGACTAGTAGATGCTATATAGGAATATGGAACTTTTCGGTCTCTTCAGTTGGTAGTAGACCAAACCCTACAATTCTGTACAAACGGGCAGTTTATAAGCGTAGGGACGGCAGTATTGGTAATGACTTCTAGCTTTTTTGCTTAGTATAGTCTCTAAACGACCCATCTATGCTACATCCTAGCTCAATCCTGTACTAGACAATTTTGTTCAGTGCCACATGAGAGTACCTGAAGCTTAAATTAATTTCAATAATTTTTCTTCTGAACCTCGATATTAGTTTAGTTTCGCTTGACTAGGTAAGGTCAAAGTTAATCTAGATCTAGGGAACTGTATAATCATGTCCGAATGTCTTAAAAGGTCAAAGTTCGCCTAAGTAACATTCCCCAGTCATGGCAAGTGTACGAAGGGAGTAAAAAGGCTAAATTTAAAGCTAAAATAAGTCACTACACCTCAATCTCTCTAAAATACCGATAAATATAGAGAAATAAAAATGAAATTCATATTTCAGATCCCAAATGATATGCATAAACGAGCTATCCTAGGCAACATCATACACATTTGAATATGAATCAAAATATACTTATCGGCGGAAGTGAGCACCAGAAATGACGTGTTCCCTGGCAACGATATCCTGGGCCGAGCATGTGAGACAGATAAATCAAACAACGAAAACAGGCCCCACGCATGGCCCAAACCTATTCCAAACATAATCCAAAAGCTTGCATTCTGATTACAATATACACTCGATATCAGTAATAGTGATGTAACAATGAAAATAAAAGGAAATTCAGACGACTGATGGTGAGTAATGCAACCTATAAGACGGGTTATGTGTTGCATATACCGGTGTTTCCCAACCTTTCTTAGTTCGCGGCTCACTTTTATTGCCAATATTTTTGTGCGACCATCATCAATGTGATGTCGCTATAGGAGAAATAAAAAAACAATGTATCCACATGCAATATACTACTAATGTGAAACATGAGCTTGCTTGCAATGCAAAGCTACATTCATGTAACCTAATGAATATGTAGAGACGTACTGAAATTAATAACGAGACACAACGTATATTTCTAATTTTTACATTGTTCCATATTTGTTATGTAATGATAATGCCACAATTTCCCGATCTAGTAGAAACCTGTATGTAACATTTAGAAACGCTTGACTATCCACTGGGTGGGAAGCATTGGCGTATACAATACCATAAAGAAGGTGATTCAAAAAGGTAATACGTGCAATCTGCAGAATATGGGACGTTGTGTCTTGCAAAGAATCCACGCAAGACTTCCGACTTCATTCCATATGTCTGTTCTAATTTAAAATCGATTGCTTCAAGTGTAAGTCCTTACTGAGTCAAGACAACTTATACCCTAAGCCAGTGGTCGATGAAACTGCGGCCCGTGAACAAAGTTTTTGTGTCCCTCGAATAAACTAACTCACTTTTAAAACGGAGACGCTCATAAATTTATTATTTGTGCACGGTTTTATGCCGTAACAATTGCTGTTGCATGGCGTTTGATTTGTAGTAGCATGAGTGAAAACAACGTTCTTACCGTTGTAATTGTCAGTTAAGTTTATTTAGATTTTTTTCAAATTGGTTGGCAACGAGAGTCGTACGTTTCAAAGTAAAATATTGCTTTGTTGCGTATCGTGTAAATCCTGTTTGCTTAACCAGTCATGTCAGTCGCGAGTGCGCCATAATTTGAAATTTATTGTGGTAATTGTTTATAGGCGGAAATTAATGAATCCGATATAATAATGTAAGCTATTAATTGTGTAAACTGTGAGACAATTCATTAATAAATAAAAAAAAAATTGATTTGAGTATGTTCCAAATAGGAAAAAAACATGTTATTTTGCTTACCAGTGTAGAATTACATTGAGAAAGAGCAGCAAGAAGAGTATCTGTCACTTTATCTGATATCAGAGTAGCAACGGTCAAGTTCATTTCGCTGTAATGAATAAGATAATTTAATGACGTCATATGGTTCTTGAGAACAACAAATAAAGAGCGTCACCAAGATGGGATTTTCATATTCGTCCCAGGAGGAAGCCAATAAAGGGATTTAATCACATGGCGAACCTCGGCATCTTGTCCGGTTACCAGTCCATGTCGGATATGGACTCGTTACTTTGCTAAGAGTCTCCCTCCATTGCTTTAGACCGAGTGAACATGTTTTTCAATTGAGAAGACGTTCATAAAACTAAATGAAAAATGCGATGCCTAGTTGTTCCTAGCGATTAATCAAATATGAGCAGTTTCAGTAAAATCGTCATAATATTAGTTTGAGCCGTTTTAAAATTTAGATAATTGTATTGATAAACTGTCCCTCCACGCACGAACACACGCGTACGCAAACACAGATAATCGCACACATAGACATACATACACTCGAGACTTATTTTATATTTCCAGCTCGACCAACCTGACTTTATTAATGATCTCAGTTCCGGTTTGCTTGATCACGTGATCTTTGACGAACGACGATGGAAGACGACTTCGTTCTTTTGATTTTTCTTCGATTTCGTCTCTTATTCCTTCGAAAATATGTGGGCACTGAGACTCTGCGTTCTTTGTCATGGATTGAACAGTGTTCTGGGTAAAGGAGAAAACAAAATTGAAAAGTGATGAAATAAAACAGCTTTCCCTACCAGTGAGGAATGTTATTGTGTTTGGGGCGTGAATTTTACTGTATTAGTAAAATGAATTGTATTGAATGTACTGAATTGTACTGTAAATTTCTGTATTTGTGTGTAGTATTTTCAATATTTTATTGACTTACCGTATTTAGTAATATTGTAATACGTATTGATGCACATATTATGAATTAAATGAATTGCGCAAAAGTTATGGTGTGAATTTAAAGTAACAGTAGCTAATGAAACATTAAAGATAGGATAGCAAAAGAGAAAAAGTTACAGAATAGGCCAAGAGCAATGATATCAAAAAAGATTAAAATCACAGCAATGAAACAGCGCAACGATTTAAATGGACACCAGGATACGAAAGCTAAACGAATAATATGAGCACTGCAAATTGCGTCAAAATTTTTAAAGATGAAGATCATACGAAAGCGTGTCTGTAAATTAAAAAAAGCGGAATTTGTGGTGAAATATCCGACCTAAATGACTCAGAAATTTGAAAAAAAATAGAAAACTATTATGTGATAAACCCATTTTAAACAAAGGAACGGGCAATTGTTGATGCAAAATATAAAGCTCCGTAGCGACACCATGTGGCAACTTAAACGCTAGACTAAATGAAATCCCAATTATGTGTGTTACATACAGTCTAACTAAGAAGCAAGAATTTTGTCTGCATGGGTCGAATATGATATGGAAGAAATTTTCAACAAGGTGTAATTTCCTGGTATCAACTAAACATACGTTTTAACAAGGGCGCTCGACCTTGACCTCGGGCGGAATATAAACATCGTGGGCGCAAGAATAATACTGTATTCCGATTTAACGTACTTCAAATCAATTCGTCAAAACAGAAACAAATCGAGAATGGAAACCACAAGCAAGTACTGAGAGCGACATAAAGAGAAATGGTCGCTCCAGAAGTATATGTACCAATATGGAAGTTACTAATTTTGTTCGCCTACTTTACATCAAATTATAGGGGTGTATTCACTTGGCTAATACAGACAGTCCCAGAACTCATAATACAACTAAAATAAGGAAAATCGGAATAAAATTATGGCCTAACCCTAACCTGGGACACACACTACGGGAGAAATGAGCAGTTGTTGCTAAGATAAGAAAAGAAACTCAAAATCACGGAAACGAATGAAAAAAATGGGGATGGCAGTTGCGTGACTGGAATATATTAGTCGCCCTAGATTTGAGCACCGAAGAGATCAAAAGGGCGACATGTACGTAAAATACTTCCAACATGAATAATCAGCTACTTAGAATCGTGGAAACAATTAAAAAGAATGGCATGGTTTATTTTATAGAGATAAAGTGTTCTTCCTAGGAAGGGAATAAACAAACTTTCTGGTCGCCTTATACAACAATTGAACATCTAAAAATAATAAGGAGTAGTACCATATCAATGGCCTTATCTGTGAAGCGCTACTGCGTCACAGCCCGCAATGTAGACAGCAGGTTTGACTTTTAGGGCAGTTATATACACAAGACTTGCACAGACAATGAAATGCGTGTTCTACGTAAAGACTTTAACAACTTGTTCTTTAAATATTTTTGAATTCTCTATACTCTATTTGAATTCAAAACAACAAAAGTTTTTTTCGGAGATGATCGAGGCAAACAAAACACAACATAAAAACCAATAACAAGCCGCTTTAAAATCCGATTTCAACCGCCTCTGGCTACTTGAACCTCACTGTAAAAAAGGATGTAAATTTGACTATAATTTACTGTATATTCAATTGAATAAAACCATTCAAAATGCCAAATGTTTGGCAGTACATACAAGAAAATAGGGTACTCATGTAGTATGTGAACCAAAATGACAGACACCGAAACGTAGTATGTGTACCAGGTGAGGGGTAGGCCATAATTTCAGGTACAAATACTACTGGAGTCACTTGGTTTGTCCCCGAACTCGTAATAGAAGTAAAAGAGAGGAAATTGGAATGAAATTATGTCCTAACCCTAACCTGGTACATATACTACGTTCCGGTGTCTGCCATCTTGGTTCACGTACTACGGGACCGCCGAAAATAGATTAGTATATCATCAAATAAAACATTGAAATGCCGGGTAAACTTCTCAAACTTTATAACAGCGTTGCAAACTCAAGTGCAAAATATGCGGTATATCGGGTTACTATGTGTTGTTTTAGAAATGAGCGGTTCACGACGGATAAGCTGTGTACCATAATACATTGACGTCCATTAGAATTTTGACTTCATATTATATTTTCAAAGAAAAATTAAATGAAATTGATTTTGATAGATTCACAAAAATTGATGAGCATATCCACTTTCATTACGAATAAGACTTATAACAACAAGGAGATAAGGCGAACAGACTCTGTATTATAAATATTTCTTCGATATTTCTCGTAATCAAAAAATCTAAAACAAATCCTTCTTTAATTATTAAACATATACCCTATTCATTCTGTTTTATCTAATCAATGAGCAAAAGTTTGCGTTACAAACCAAATACAAATTTATAGACATGGGTATTATACATTCACGAACAGCCACGAACGAGGCTACGAACAAGCCACCACGATGCTATTATCTCTTTTCGGAAAAACCGCAATATTATCGATAAAATTGATTTAAATCAAATGGTTCTCTATAAAACCAACCTTTATATGTTCTTGAACCATTGCATCCATTTCTTTTGCCATTTGTTCAAGCTTTCTTCGCAAGTTACTGTGATCGCCTGATGTTTTCTCCATGGCCAATCCGTAGATGTCTGACAACAACTGAAATAATAATGAATAGTTTGGCAACAATAGGGCAAATATTGGTATCGTGACGTAATAATGCCTTAGATGTAACAAACAAAATTCGCAAATTGGCTGAAAACAGCAAATGAGTTAGTTATTTGGCAATAATCGGGCAATAATTGGTATCAAGACGACATAATGCATAACTGCAAATTCCGCAAATTGACTCTAAACACAAGAATAAGTTGAGGAATAGGGTTTATAATAGAACCATATATAGCACACACTAAAAATATACCTGACATATTCCACCGGCCAAGGCATGGAAACCTTGAACTCTTCCGCAGGCATTTTCTCAAATAACCAGTAAACCAATAATAACTCCAATAAACTCAAGTCAACTAAACAATCATTCCAAAACCCTAGACTGACTAAAAGTTATTAGAAAAATGAAATATGACATATTAGTTAAGATTTGGATATAGATTGGTTAGCCGAATAAATGTGGTTAACGGTTAAAGTTTATACTAGCCGGTAACGGTTTTCTGTCTGTTCAACAGGCCTGAACATAATACACTTCTACAATTCCCGCTTCAAAACATATGAAATTTCCATGGATTCAAACAACAAATACGATCAATTCTTGTTCATTTGTTCTATTTGACAAGACTATCTAACTGACGCGAATTTTAGCTTTGTTTTAATTTCAATAAAGTAACCTTGTTTAATAATTTGTCCCTTTGAAACGTATACTAATCACAAAATTCAACGTTTTATTAATGCAGAATATAAAGAAACGACGTAAATTAACTCTGGTGAATCGCCAAAATCCGAATTCTCCGCTTTTTTGAAACCCTAAGACCTCTCTTGAACATTATAACCTAGAATTTGAAACTGTGCTAATGCAACACACACCTCTAACCGTAAACCTTGAATGATTAAAAATAATTACATCATAAAAAGAATGAGAAAAAACCTGTCTATAGCACGTTGACATTTGGTTGTGTTGACTAAAACGAATTTATACATAAGTGTCTAAAGCATGGGTTAATATTGCAATTGACATTAACACTGGTCGGCACGGTTTTAAAAATTTGAATAACGGTGAATTTTAGGTTGAATTTACAAAATTTGTAAGAGTGTACGCTTATAAAGTCGTTAAGCTTCATCAATCTCAATTAACGTTCAGTAATAGCTTTACGTATTTTGCTAAATTTAGCACAAGCACAAGATAAACGGTGAGTAAATACATCCAATTGCCAACATTTTACGGAAAAAAAATAATTTACATAGATTTACGTCCTAAGTTTGGAAAGTATAGGAACCTCTATTCTATCTTATAGTCATACGCAGGGGGTCACTCCTCCCCCTTTTGAAATGTAAAAAAAGACATTTTTCTGTATCATATACATTACAATTTCTCGTAGCGTATAACGTTTTTTAGACACTCAGGGGGGCTCCCGAAGTATGCGAACCAAGATGGCGGACATCGGAATGTAATATGTGTACTAGGTTAGGGTTAGGCCATAATTTTAGGTATAGATGCTACGGGAGGCTCTTGGCTAGTCTTCGAGCTGATAATAGGACTAAAATAAGGAAAATTGGAAAAAAAATTATCGCCTAACCCTAACCTGTTACCCATGTTACGTTCCGATGTCCGCCATCTTGGTTCGCATACTTCGGGAGCACCCACTCAGGATTATTGGAAACCCACTGTTCCGCTAGCTCATAAGTCTAACTTGGCAATTTGAAATTTCAGAACCTACGAATGAGTGTACCGATCTAGACGCGACAGTAAAATTCGAGTTATTTCACTCATTTTTTCTATTAGCGTTTTACAATTTCTGCAAAGGTTCGATACACGTTTGCATATAAATTTATCGATAAGTTCTAAATTTAAATTAAATTTGCAAAATGATGCTGTGAAGTGAAAACGTTCAATTAATTAGCATTTTATAGTAACGAAAAATCTGAGAATTTTGAGGCTTGTGGATATCATAAGATTGTTTAACAAGAACTTTTTTCTAGCTTCTTCGTCGAAGATAACATTTTTTGAACTCGGAATCTTGAGGTGTTGTTGGAGTCAAAATTTTGTGTAACCGTGGGAATCGTATTTCCGAATGACTCGGAGTTGAGGATCGATTGAAACTTTACCTAAATCCACCAATATACGAATTCGACGTATTTTATGATTGGTTTCTCAATGCTATAGCACACGATAACTTTCTCATGTAAGTGGAATGAGATCAACTCGTTTTTTTTTGTTAAATTGCTCCTTTCGCTATTTTGGAACTCTCTCCCCCCCCGTGCATAAAACTACTTTGTTCAATATTAATGGATTCTTCGCTAGTGTTAGGTTCGCACTCCCCATTCTTGTATAGTTTAATTAGTTTATTATGTTTCATGAATAAGTATTATAGTAATTATGAAAAACTACGGAATACTGGATTAACTGGAATTACTACGGCAAATACAAAGCAAAATTTCTTCTTGGAGAAATTACCGACCGAATGGGAAAAGTTGCGCGACATTCCAAAAATGAGTTCGCAATGCATCATGTATGGTCATGTTCATACGAGGTGACCGTATATTTGAACCCATGTTTATTTCTGCGGGTTCAATCTATATGCGGGTGCTAAAACCCATGGGTTAGGGTTAGTATTGGTTCAAATATCCGCAAAACAAAATTTTTTTCCATACGTGCAATAGTATGCAGGTCCAGGTGCATTTGTCGTGGGTTCAAATGTACGTGGTTCAAGTGTACGGGAACCGTCATAACGAATATGTGACACTTCGTATTGAATCATTTGGCGCTCCAGAAGTATGTGTACCAATATGAAGGTAACTAATTTTGTTCGCCCACTTTACATCAAGTTGTATAAAGGGACTGAAACCTATGGCCAGGAAGAATATTCACTTAGCTAGCACAGACAGTCCCCGAACTCGTAATAAAACTAAAATAAGGAAAATCGGAAAAAAATCTTGGCTTAACCCGAACCTGGTATACATACTACGAGAGTGCCATTTATTTACCGACATAATTATTCAAATGCGACCTTATTTACGAATCGCCTTTTTTTGTCGGCTTCGTCATAGGTCTTGTGATATCTTTAAACTCGTGATCGTCGAAATTAGCAACGAACGAGCGATGAAACTCGACTAATTTATAATTTTTACCAAATGATCGTGATAGCTATGTAATCTCATATATAACATTACTCTTACAAATGTACATATTACCATTAATTAATGGTGATTTTTTGAATTATATCACTCGATTGTCGCTAGCCTGAAAACTTTTTGCATCGATCGTATTGTATTTTTACGGTAAGTAATTGTATGAATAGGATACAAGCGCCAACTGTTGATTTACGCCAGGGGTCGGCAAACTTTTGTCGCTCGCGGGCCAAAATTAAGGTTTGCAAGTCATTGGCGGGCCGCATATATTTTTAGAAAGTTGAAAACCGAACGGATGATACTTTTTATAATAAAAATCAAGCCGTGATACATCTTTCGAACAGAATATAGATTTATTTACTCATTGCATTGCATCTCAAAAAATCCCATTCGAATATTTTCGGCACCATTGAACCTTTTGCACTTAGCATCAACGTTTCTGCGTTTCGTTGCCATTTGTCTGATTATAATTAAATTATAAGCTCATTAAACGAGAAATTGTGAGTTATATACTTGTTAGGTTATAAAATAATTTAGTCTACACGTGTCTCACAATAAATTCTGATATGCAAAGAATATAATCGTCAAAACAACTGCTTTGCTACTATAATTCGGTGAGGCGTCGCGGAACCGTCGCGTGCCGTAGTTTGCAAACCAGAATTTCATGTCAAACTGGTTAAGAAAAAAGCTTAGGATGACCAACGCTGTTATCATTCAACAAAAACGTACATTTATCAGATTCTATATATTTACGTATGAAATACAATTTAGTACGTAAATATTTTAAAATAGAAAATATTTTACATATTATTTTACAGTATAATAATAATATACAAAACATACTATTATTATTATCATTACGATTACGCATATATTGACATTTCTTAAAAGTCATTATGAATGATGATTTAGCAGACGTCATAATGAATATTAATTTTTTGAAAAACATACGAAAATCGAAAATTTTTGATACTTAAATAATACTTTGATATTTGATGATTATAATTATGAATAAAAAATTGTTGAAAATAACTAGAAAACTACAGTTATTGAAAATATTACTCCTCCATAAGTTTGAGTAATAATAGGTACTTTTCAAACTTTCTCACATTTTGTAAAACTTACGCCGTACGCGAATAGATACATCTTAGTATGATAGCTTTAATAGCGTTCGTTTTAACAGCAAATTGCGGAATTCCTCACAGTGTTTATTTTAAAACTTTGCGAACAAAACAAAATAACAAATAGCGAGAATTTCGGGAAATAATAAATAAATCGATATAATACAAAACAATACTAATGACACAGAAAATTTGAAAATGGGTGGATTGTGAAAGCACCCAAATATTGAAATAATCCCATTGTCTGAAAGTCCCATAATTTTCAGTCTCTTTACACAACTTGATGTAAAGTAGGCGAACAAAAATAGTTACCTCCATATTGGTACACACGCTTCTGGAGCGCTTTTAACACGCACAATGTCAAAATGTACAGTCGGAAAATTGAACTTTTTGTGCTGGGATTGGAACCGAAAGCGGTGTCGTAATTACAAGTCCGTTATCAAAGTCCGAATTCCAGATGACTTAAAAAGGGTCGGAATCGAAATTTCAACTCAAACTAAAAAAGCTGCAAACTGTCGATGGTTAAAATGTTCTGGTTCCGGATTCAGAGTCAAACTTTCTATCGAATCGGAGTTAGTGGTTTGGAAGGGACAGGGTACAAATTTTAATGGACACGTTTAGTGGACATAACGATCGTTTCAATATTATGTTGTTATTGTTATTATTTGTCTCCATTTTTAAAAAATCGCTTTTCTCTTCAAATAATGGACCAATTGCTTTGAAATTTTCAGTGGTTAA